CGGTTTGATGGATGATAATCATGAGACTGATCAAGTTTGTAAGAAGCTGAGGTCAGTTTCATGGTCCTATCACACTAAGAAACACCAGTAACTGCCACCATGTCACACGGGCCCTTGACATTTGAAAAAGGCAAGGAAACCAGTAACTGCATCGAGCATGACTAACAATGCATTTATTGTCTTGCTAGCAAGTACTCAGGGGTAGGATATTCCTACGGAGGACGTTCCTACAGGCTTGCTATGTTACGAATGACGACCTGGTATTTCTGGCTCCTCAACCCCTGGCCCTGGGAGGCAACCGCCATCCCCCCTTTGCAGAGGAAGCCTGCCTGCTGGGTCAGAACTCCCCTGACGTGTGCCTTTGTCTAAGCAGGTTTCTGTCACCCCACCCCATTGCTGCCATGCTCCTAAGAGCCCACAGGGAGATAATGTGATATTCAGAAATGAAATTTCAGAAAAACACCAACAATAAAGTTTTCTCAAAGAAAGCCTCACACTTTATTTTCTCCTGTGCTCTCCAACATGCTGAGTGTCCTTCTGAGCAAAAAAGTGAAGTAATGGGTGGTCTTGAACTAGGATCTGGTCCTGCCCTACCTCAGCCAATTAACTAAGCAAACAGAACAAGTAGAGAAGAAAAGCAAAATAAAGATACCATCTTACATTAAACAGAGTGATGGCTGGCATAACTACTTTAGGTAAGTTCTAAATACGAGACCAATAACTTTCGAAGGCAGTTACAGGAGTGACAACACAGTCCCTCAGAGACACGATCTAATTCTCAACTGCCATTAACTAAGGAAATATGTGATAAGAGGCACCCAACCTCCTTGAACTCGGTGCCTTATTGATAAAATGGTAACTGTACCATTATGATTTCTAATGTAGATGAGCAGTACTTAAGACTTTTCTGAACCAGGAACCGCTTTTGAGAATTTAATGAAAGTTATGACCTCTCCCCAGAATTTGGTAACAAGAACACTGACCCAGAACACTACCTGTAATTGTTACAGGTTCAAGAACCCTCTGAAATCCATCTATAAACTCTGCCTAAGTCCACCGACCCTCTGTGCTCTGGAATCTCTCCCAAATATCACCTCCACGTCTCCTCCCTTTTCTAAATGTTCCAAACAGTATCACATGGGTCAGGAATTTCAGTATGTTCAGCCAAAAAATATTTGACTGCAACGTTAAAAGATATCACTGCAAAATGGCAACAAGTGACTCGAACGGTGCTTGGCCCATAGTAAGTGTTCCATAAAATTTTTTTTTAAACGAATGAGTGTTTAAATACAAATTCTATCCTATTTTCTTAATAGCCATACAACTTTTGGTCAGCTCTCTAATTCTAGGTCTTCTAAGCAGACTTAAGTAATATTTCCCTTCAGCCAAAATTTAACACAACTCATCTCTAATGCAAAGATCTGATGTGTTCATAGCTACTGAAATAACCTTTCTAGGTCACTTCATATTTCTTTGTTCAATAGTAAATAGCATTCTGACAGAAGGCTTATGTTAAAAACTACTACCACTACCAAGCTTTGCAAATTAGAAAAACACAAGTCAAATCTTAATTTATAAACAACTCAAACAGCAAAAGAAATCTCTTTTGTTACTGGCTTTATCACTCATCCTTTCAGAAACAAGAAACTTAAAATTTTGACTCTCCATGTTTTCATTCTAAGTGTCTTCATTTCCTGGGTGTTACGTTAAAACAGGTTATGTGAAGGCTCACTGTTTTCCTACCATAAACCTTGAACTAGCAAATGGAATACTTTTGTCACTAAAAATAAACATGTCCTACAAACCACTTTCAGACTTACGGATACAAATCCATACACACCCACATTCTTTCTGGATCTATGTAAGTTTCTGGTTTTTGCACTTAATATAGATAATATTTGTTCACTATAGAAAGAAGAACAAAAAAATGTAAGACTAGAGACTAGCCTGGAATTTTTCAGAACACGATCCTCAGCCTTATGGCAGAGGTTTTCAGAGTTTGGTCCAAGAACTGGCCTGATGTTCCCAGACCCTTACACATCTCTTTTGAGGGCAGACTTTCTTCCTATAATACAATGTTTCACAACCGAAAGAATGAATAAGGTGATGAGAATCCAGCTATCTTCTTTTAAACCAGGGACTAAAGACATCTGCAAACATGTAAGACAAAACCACTCTTTCCACTATAATTGTTTTATTTTGGAAAATAGTTATTTTATTAAATAATGTTAACACAAATTAAGTAGCTCTTTATCTGCTTAAGTGATTTTAAATGTGTTTTATTTCTAATCCAGCAAAATTACAAAATATATAACCCACATAAACCAATCTTCTTTGGGGTCATCAATAATTTTACTTTATGGGTATAAAGATTCTGAGACCATAAGCTTTGAAAAACTCTACCCTGTACAAATGACCTTAACCCCTCAATGAGTGGGAAAAAAAAAATGCATTAAAGAGCAATTGACTAACTTTATCTGCCAAGTAAAATTCGACTTCATAATTCAAACCACTTTAGATAAGTTCTATAACATTTTTTAGCCTAATAGTACACATCATCTTATTACCCACTGCTGCTCATATTCAATTTTACACAAAGTTTGAAGAGCTACTTATTTATGTAACTGCAGCAAAAGCCATTCATGTGGACAGCAAACAATTTAATTCCTCTCTACAGACCTAATTAAGTGTTTATGTTACATATTAGTGTAGTTTTTCCGTTTTATATCACCATCACCTAGAGTTTTCTGTAATGATTAGGCAGGAAGCCCATTACATATTCTGAAAACACTCTAAATATTATATTATAAAATATTCTGAAATTATCATTACTTATCATAATTTGGTATGAAAAAAGGCAACATTCAAATAACACATTAAGTAACCATTTATTTTATATAATTTTACAGATTGCTTTATGCAATATACCCACATTTTGAGTTGAACATTCACTGACTCAACATGTGTCCACTCAACATGCGACTTAAAAGCAAACCACAGCCCTGCCTGGTGTGGCTTAGTGGTCAATTGCTGGCCTGAGAATCAAAGGGTCACTGGTTCAATTTCCAGTGAGGGCGCCTGCCAGGGTTGCAGGCCAGGTCCCCAGGAGGGGGTACACGAGAGGCAACCACACACTGATGTTTCTTTCCCTCTCTTTCTCCCTTCCCTCTCTAAAAATAAATAAATAAAATCTTAAAAAAAAAAAAAAAAGCAAACCACAGCTGCCTGAAATTCAAGAACTAATTTGATCTTTTTTTACGGATATAACTCATCATCCTTCCTCCATTCCACCCTCACTTCCACAATAAATTAAGTTCTTCCTTACATTTTTCAGTCAGAAATACAAACGGGAGATCAGACACATTCACAAATACACAACGAGGTCTGCAAAATACCTCTACCAGCTTAAGCATGGAAACCTCTACTCACTCCTGCCACTCGCTGGCATTTCAGGGAGGTATATGCCAAGGTACGTCTTCCAGGACTGCTTAAACTGTTACTGAAACTTTCTGCAGTCTACTTTTTATAGCATTTTAGTCTCCTTTCCTTGGTTCCTTGAGAAATGCTTTATGCTAAGTGTGCCTACGAATCCCAAACTACACTTCCCATTCCCCTTACGTAAACGCTCAATAAATACATATGCAGTGATATGTGGTGAAATCAAAATTCAATAAATTTAAACCTATAGCAGACTAAAGGACACGGGGGGGCTCTCTCAACACCTGAGTCTGTTCTCTGGTCCAGAATTCGGTTTTCAATTTGATACTCTACTAAATGGACATGTCAGAAAAGATGATAATCCACAGGGACATTGAAACATCAAACGTAAAGGTCACCTCCATAAATCAAAGTCAGTTTACCTGGGTGTGTACTTTGTGAGGAGGATACTTTATTCCCTAGCTATATATTTTTTCTTTCCCCAACATTTTTCAGAGAAAACTTATATATCAAAATTTTTAAACTAGCTACCCTCTCCTTTCACCATTATCCATTCTCCTCCAACATAGCCTGATACATCAAGTATTTCAAGATTTGTTCCAAAAAATCTTTGAAGTCACTATTATTCTACACAGAAAATAGAGAGGAAAGAAACAAACGTTTCAGAATGAAAAGAATTACATTATCTTCCCTACAAACCCACAAAAAATTTTTTCAGAATGACTTAAAAGTTCAGTATCTCATTTTTTTTCTGACCACGGTTAAGATTTAAGATGGTCAAAATAATGCCATATTCAAAAAGAAAGGCAAAAACCATAGGTCATTATAACTGAAAATGGGCCAATTTCTCAACCAGTTGATCATATCTGAGAGATGCATTTTAGATACAGATCTCCCCACAGCTAACTGGTGGGTATATGCACAGATCAAACACGCATTATGCAAAATGGGAAAGATTTAGGCTGGTGAAAGGATGAACTCTCCAAGCACAGAACACCCGTCCGCTGGATTTGTTTTTTTTGTAAGAACTTAGACTCTCAGTTCTTTAGTCTAAAATAAATTTAAGTTCAAGTTCACTTTCCAAGGACAATTATGAAAAGAAAACTAGATATGGAAACCTAGCAACTAAGATGCATTTGCAAAGGATAATAAATGGTTCAGGTAGAAATAACACATTACTAACTAATTTCACATATAGACTGTGACCTCTTGCCTGTAAAACTGATTTAAGATAAAAATGAATACTCTTTTAAACTACAGGCAACCTAGACTCGAAAGCAACAGGAAACATTTTTTAAGTGGGTCTGTGGCACACACAGATCGTAGCAAACAGCTCTGCCCCCAAATCACATTGCTCTCATCTAACAAAAGTTTTATGAGAAAGATGGGGGGTGGGAGAGAAAAGGAATAGTCTTATTTAAAAAAAAATAAAAAACCTGGCACTGAGAGAGACAGGGAAGAATTTGTGTGTCTGTGCCTGTGTTTAAAGAAAGGCAGCTTGGGATGCATTGCAGGGAGGGGGTGGGGGTGTGTTCATGTGCAGCAGGCATTAGAGTACTTACTGTGCCCGGTTCTCTGTCTGCTCCCGAGGTTACCAAGAAACGCACAGACATGCCCGTTCAGACACAGAGGCAAGAACAGAAATAAAAAAAAGGGGGGAATAATTAGAACACAAGCCCCAAACAGTTTTAAAAATGGCTTTTATTTATATAAGTCATTGCACATTCCTAATACAGTGATTTCCTGAAAATTACAGTATTTTGTAAACATAAGATTTACAGTTTAACCATACACAAAGCCTATTTTTTTTATTTCTTGACAGAATAAATTACTTTTCTTCAAAAAATTAGTCAAGTGCAATTTTGCCCAATATTTAACGCATACTAGAATTAAAGCCTATGAAACTAAGTAGTAACAGATGCAATTATCAAACCTCTCATTTGGACACATTCACTTTCAAATTTAACTTCTTATTTCGCCCCATTTAACAACATTACTTTCTTTGAAAATTACCCAATTAAGCAGTTAACAGTTTTCCATAATATGGTACAGGCCACTGGCATTAACTAGGCAGTTGCCAAGATGTCAAGATGCCTGTAATCTAACGAGATCGAGAAATCTACAGACGCCCATGTTAAACCCTGAGAACTTCCAGGGTGAGCTGTATTTCAGTGGCCAAGCTTTGCGACAGTTCCTCTTAGCTCATTGTTTGCTTTCTGAATAGGTTGGGGCTTTCTTTAGCGGTGCACACAACTTTGCAGCACTGTATGAGTGTGGGGACAAAGTCCTAATCTGGCTTGCCCGGCCTCTCACCTCTGTGGTGCTCTGCATCGTGGTGCTTCTTGTCATCTTTTATTGCCAAGTGAGACTGCCCACTCAGAGCACTAGACAGTGCCAGAAGGCCGGCACTGCCGCCCAGGGGCGGGATTCCAGGAGGCTGAAGTCCCGAAGGGTGAGGCGTTAAGGGGACTGGGGGTCCGTGGCCATGAGAAAGATGCTGAGCTTGCAACTGCTGCTGCTGTTGGTGGTGGTGGTGAAGGAGGAGGAGGAGAAGGTGATGGTGGGGGTGGCGGTGACGGCATTGGCAGCATCCAGGGAGAAGCAGACATGACATGACAAGATGGAGGGAACAGAAGGATGACACGCACAGGAAGGGAGTGAAGAGAGAGACGGGGAGGAAAAAAGGAAAAATGTGATTAGCGCTTTCAGTTCATCAGAAGCTTTTACCTGATGAGTTGTCATCTTCCCAAAATACAATCCTTAGATCTATACTGTCCTTTCTGGCATAACCAACCCCTGGGAATGTAGCTGTTTATTATCATCAGCAAGCCATAGTTTATAAGCAACTCACATATTAGAGTTCTATCTCTATGTGCCTCGAGGGATGAAATCCAGTATGTCATTGAATCTAAGATGCCACAGATTCAAGACTCAACCTGATTTCAAAAAAGGTTAAAATTGGGAAACACAGATATGCATCCTACAATACAGTAACTGAGTAGCCATCAGTTACTGAGTGACTCCATTTTACCCAAACATTCCTGCTTGAACTTACTGCAAGGGTATGACGAAACAAAACCAACATATTACCTTTCATTAACAGAACCCAGAAAGTAAGAACACCCAGCATTTCCCACCTCCAAGGGCTGCATGTCTTTATTTCACTAAACCCTCACTGTTGAGTATGTACTGACATTCCCATTTCACAAACGGAACCAAGGCTCAAAGCAATGTGGAAACTGCAGAGGTTCTCCCAGCAGGCGGGAGCAGAGTGGGGAGGTCAACTCTCAATATGGGAGTGACCCTAATGGCTGCGATGCTCACGGGGCTACTGCATACAAAGGGAGGTCACAGGGTGCCATGCATGGAACATATGGAAGAATCTTAGCTAAGGAGAAACCTCGTTACCCCTTACTTTTTCCAAGCTCCATGCCTCAAACCCAGTCCTTCAGTCCTTCAAATCTAGTCCTTCAATGTCATAAGGAAAACAATGAGACCCAGAGTTGGCTTCTCTGGCTACTTTGATGGGAAAACACTCTCACCAGTCCTGTGGGACACCAGGCACGGTGACCCAAGTCCCCCCATTCCTAAATGCCATTGCCTCTACTGCTTAACCCATTCCAGAGATTATAAATCTTTTCATATTAAAAAGTATTATTGCTCTCATCTACTATATTTAAGAGCATGTTGTAGACATGGAAAAGTGTCCAAGAAATGGCCCTTGTACCATAAATCTGGCCACTTTTCAGCTGTCCAACATAAAACTTGTTTTTGATGAGGCAGTAAAAACGATTAAAGCTCAATTTCTAAGGTGTAATGTTAGGAAATTCTTAAGATTCTGATTTGTGCTCACTTCCCTGGGACTCAATTGCCCGTTTTATTTATTACCCCCTTGCGTGTACTGAATATATTAAATCTTCACTCCAGACCCTCAGTAACTTCCACCTAGAGTACTGATCTTTAATTGAATCCCAAACAAGCCCCCTGCCCTCAAGAGCAAGAGAAAGCAGCATCTTAAAAGCAGAAATCAGTGTCCAAAGTCATTTTATAGTAAATCTTCAACTATTACCAGCATCTTTTAAAAAATGTTTAGGAGCCACTGTTCTAAATTTCTATTCCTTCCAAAGAGAGCATATTTCTAATTAGAGGGAAATGGAAAAGGGGGTGAGGTCTGAGCCAGACAGCATTAATAGCAATCTGGGAAAGTATTTATAAACTACTCATTCGCCATTTGAGATCATAATAACAATTTCTTTATACATAAAATCACCTTCCTGTCATCCAAAAGACACTAATTCTTGCTCTGTCACCTTTTAAGAGCTCGGCAACAGCAAGACATAAAACTGAAGAAGCTGGCAGCAGCGTCATGGTCCACTAGGCATGCTCATTAGCACTTAATTAGGAACTAGACACCTGCCATAAGAAATGTGCTTGGAGAAGGATGAGGACCAGGTCTGCCCTACCAGCAATTACTATCATTACTTGGAGAGTAAGAGCTATGTCCGGCTTCTGGGGGGGAAACGCAGTGATGCATACACAAGCAAGAGCAGCGGGGTAATTAAGCACAGCACTGATTAAAAGAAGATGAGAACGGCTAAGCAGAAAGGAAGGCAAGAAACTACAGTGTTGAGAACACCACCCTACCACCCCTCCCTGCACAGCCCTACTACCCCCAAAATCCAGAATCCAGTCACCAAAAGACCACTCAGAAGTGGAATTTTATATCAGAGCAAAGGTAAAATTTGGATGTACAAGGAAAACAACACATTTCCTGCCAAACCCAAGTTAGTTTTTAGAAAAAGGAACTGGAAAGTATTCTCTGGTATGTTACCTTCCATAATTAGGGGGCTCTGCCCCTGCAGCTGAGAAGTAAACCTGTGTGGTTACACCCTGCACTGAGGCTGATAACTCAGTGGGGATATCCAAGAGACTAACTGGCTGTGGGCAACCCCACCTCTACCCCACCTCTGCTCTAAGCTTTCTCCTTGAAGATAAACAGCTCACTGCCCATGATCAAAGGTAGTTGGATTCCTCCACCCTTAACTTGGCCATCTTGAAAGTTTCTTCTTTTTTTTAAAGCAAAATCTTATCAAAATGGAAGGCGTACTAGGTAGCAAAAAAATGAGCCCACTGTTGAAGATACTGTAAACCCAGGTAACACGGACCCATCAGTGTCTCACATTTACTTCTTCATTCTGCCATATAAAGGTCCCAGATATTTTTGTCTTCAGTATCTGGCCTCAGCTCAGAACACACAGGAGGCAGGGAGGGTGGTGCCATTTCACAGATGAGAGTGGCCTGCCTTGGGGCTCATAGCCAGAACGATGAATGCAAAGCTTTTGTTCCCTAGAAAAGCATTTCTCCTGGGACCACAGCAGCCTAGTCATATTCACAAAAGACCTCACGTTTTTCTCTTTCCCAGGTAATGAGAACCTAAGGGTATGCAACACTACGTACATACCACTGGACATTACTCGGAGATCAACGCACCTGCACCGTGCATACTTAGCAGTGGCAGATGGTAATTTGTTCTGAGGTTCCTGACTCAAGAGTGCCAACTCTCCAGCTCCCACTTCCCAATACCCTGTCCCTACACCTGAAAAAAGGTATCTTTTGCTCCAACATTCTTCCAAGGAAGCTTATAAAGAGGAACCAAGCCTAAACAGAGAAAGCACTGGCTAGTCTCTCAGAATAAGATGCTTAGGAGGTAAGAACTGTTTCTAAGATAAAACATTTACCAAAAGAAATAGAGGGCCCACATCCTGGAGAGTGAAACAAGACCGAAAAAAAGGGCAGCCCACCTGTCCCATGTGTCCTTGGAAAAACGTTTTTTCTCAATAAGGCTCATGGAGACAGGCAAGCCAGTGCCTGTCACTTACACCAAAGACAAACCAGGAATGCTACTTAAGAGTATGTTTTAGAACAAAAGAACTACCCACATTGCTATACGGCGGGGGTGGGGGGGGGACTAAAAAAGAAAAACAACTCAACAAACCAACAAAAAACAATGGCTCTGCCAATTAGGGGAATCTGCATGCATCAGTCCTCTACAGACTCAAACCTGAGTTCATCACCAGGGAAACCATAAAATGTTTCTCAACATGACAGCCAGGGTAGGAAAATTCAACCATCTACATTACAGTTTACACTAATTAGTAAATTTTTGTCTTAAGTTAATGCTTATAAATTTATACAGCACAGAACACAAGCAAAACAGTTCATAAGTCTATCAGAAAAGGCATTTTTGATGAGCAATGGTGGTTTTTAGCGATACAGTTGGTAACTGAAGCTATCAAGCCAGACAAGTGGGTTCTCAAACAGCCATTTGGACACCACTCTTTCCCCATCCCGGGGACATCTGCCAACGTCTGTAGATATTCATGGCTGTCACAACTGGGGGTTTAAGGGGATAGAATGCTACTGGCAATCAATCAAGAATACTGTTAAACATCCTACAATACACAGGACAGCCCCACACTGCAGAGAATAATCAAGTCCAAAACGTTAATAATGCTGAGGTTGAGAAATTTTGGTCTAGACCTAAGCTGGAATTCTGTCCCATCACATTAGAATACAGGTTCTCGTACACCCAGGGACATGCCAGATGGCTGCTTAAAATATAAAAACACTTTTCAACATTCAATTGTTCACTTTCCTTTTATCACCATTGAATAGTGTCAAGACTCAAAAAAAAAAAAAAAAAGCATTTACTTCCTAGAGCCAATACCACTGACAATTTCAGAACAAAACAAACAAAAAACTTCCTATTTTAAAAACTATTCAGGAAATATCTACACGGGTAACTTTTACATATTAGTGTTTCTGGAGCGTTCCCAAAAGGTTTAGGTTGGGGGTGTGGTAACGTGATGAATGTACTTTCTCCCACCCAAACAATCTGAACAGGCTGAGAGTGAAACAAAACAAACACCAAACCCTGAGTTAATGATACTGAAAACCACAAGGAACAAAGTAACCTCATTCATGTCAAACATCAGCCACACATTTAGAACTTTAATTCACCTTCTACCTAGAGCAGCCTGGGTCAATTTCGTTACTATAATGAAACTGACTTTCCTGTTTACACTCAGAGCTTTAATGTAATAGCGTAGTGCTTCTATGTTTTTGTTCTCAGCCGGGTGGAGCACATGCTTGCTTCATCATCAGAGTTGCCTATGCAACTGGAAAAGACACCACAATGCGAATGAAGGCCAATGCCAACCTCACCCTCACCAGAGGCTAAGTCCAACCACTGAATCAACTTGAATTTAATCCCATTTATAACATTAGGAAAAACAACATCACAGAGATCACAAACTGAACCCAATCTGAACTAAAACTATGTCCCAAAATAACATCTCTAAAGCTAAAAGTGTGACAGTAAGTAGCATTTATAGCACTTGGTATGTAAACACTTTCAAAGGGGAAACATTGTGAAAAGTAGTATTTGTTGACAGTTCTCTCCAAATCACTTACTTGATTTCTATTTCCCTGTTCTTTACAACACTCAATTCTTATCTT